ATAAGTTTATAATAAATTTTAAAGATTGTATATTATATTTTAAGTTTCGGATTATAGCTTTGGATTTCGGATTATAGTTTCAGGGTTTTGGGTTTCGGAGTTTCGATTTTTTTTAAAAATTCCAAAACTAGTTTCGGATTAGAGCTCTCCCAAAACTAGTTTCGGGTAGGTTTCGTTTCAATGCCATGTTTGGCTTCAATATTATATTTTTGAGTTTCGGATTATAGGTTTGGGTTTCGGATTATAGTTTCGGGGTTTCGGGTTTCGGAGTTTCGATTTTTTTTAAAAAATCCGAAACTAGTTTCGGGTAGGTTTCGTTTCGACGCCATGTTTGACCTGGACATCAAAATCGAATCGATCTTGTCGCTGATGTTGCTAAATTTGTCAATCCTCTTATAGGAACTGCTAGAGGTAATGTTTAATTTAACAGGCCAATTTCTAGGAGTTAATCAGACATCTAATCAATAAATTTCGTTGCCAATATTAGATGGGCATGTGTTCCCTGGTCCTTGTCTTCCTTTTGGGGTTGTCAAAGTGGGTTTCGATACTGATGATAAATCAGATTTCAATGGTGGGTAAGAATTGGTTATTTAATTATCACTCAGCAAAAAGAGTTGGACCAATTTCTATATTGAATCTATTTATTGTACTGTACACAGTAAAGATGTATTAATCGAATGCATAAGTATCAACAAATCTCCGGATATGCCTGATACTTATGAATTCGGGTAAAATGAAAAATGCACGCTATATATCTAGTATTCAATAAAAAATTATCTTATCGTAATAATTTATTGCTCACCATAATTTACAGATATACTACTCATGGAAAAATTACGGGGATATCCCGTGAGTATTTCTATAAAATTAAACATGTACAGTATATATTTTCAGTTATTACATATTTACATATAGAAAACTTAAAATTTTTAAAATAGATTTGCATGTTAGTGGAACGGGAGGTAAAAAAAAAAAAAAAAAAAAAGAAAGAAATAAGAAATGAATAATCTTTTTTTAACATTATATTATGCAGCATTTATTAACTTACAACAAAATCAGGTGAACCAAAATATGGAGTAATAAGTCAATTACCGATGATGGATCGGCCCGAAGACAATCTCAGACTAGATAGCTATTCGTCCGAAAGGTCATTTGAGCATTTCGAAGTTGGTTATTTGAAATTTGGATTAAAGCGTTATCAAATCATGGTTGAGTTAACTGCTAGTCGCAGAAATGGTGTTCATCGATATACTTTTCCACCAGCTGAAAATAACGCAAAAGTTATTCTTGATTTGGGCCATATTTTATCTTTTGGTTTGAGGTATTTTTAAACTGATATATTATATATTACTGGTATCATTGTTCTTACATTAACTTCTATACATACATTATTTATATACATTATTTACATGATATAATTATAGTGCCAGATATGAAAGTGCTGCAATCACTTCTATTTCTCACAACAATGTAAAAGGAGTAGGTCGATACAAAGGTGGTTGGAATAGTGTTGGTCAATATAAAGTCTTTTTCTGTTCCCAATTCAACGTCAATACCACTAATTACGAGACTTGGTGGAACAATCGAATTAACGAAAACACTTCATCTTATATTGGCGTATCTTTCGTTGATAAAATTGGTGCAATTCTAACTTTTGATACTATTAAAAATCCTGTAATTGTTTCTAGAGTTGGTATCTAATTCATTTCAGCTGACCAAGCATGTGAAAGTGCTGAAAGCGAGGTACCAAATTGGGATTTTGATAAGACAAAGGAGGAGGCTGTTAAGGCTTGGAATAAAGAATTAGGGAGGATTTTCGTTTCAGGCGGATCTATAAATGTTATGGAAAGTTTTTATAGTAATTTATATAGAACCATGATTATTCCAAGTGATAGGTGTGTAGATTTTTTATTAATCAAATAATTCTATTGATGATAAATGATTTTAATTATTGTTACATTCTCAGAACTGGTGAGAATCCAGATTGGGTGTCATTCGATAAAAAGGGTAATCCTATACCATATTATGAAGATTTTTATACTTTGGTATGTTTTATTATTGTGTTATTTATTTTATCATTCTCAAAAGTTTATGAGTGCAAAAAAAATTTTTTGAAATAATATTATCAATAGTGGGACACATTCAGGTAATCCAATATTAAAATTATTATCGTTATTATTGTTATTTATTATTACTGTATTATTACTTATTTTTTTCAATAATTTCACTAATAAATATACATAATACGTAGAACATCAAATCCATTATTTACACTTTTCCAACCTGAACGTGCCGTGGATATTACTAATTCACTAGTCGATATTTACGTGCATGAAGGCTATATGCCTGATGGAAGAAGTGGTTCATGGAATGGGATTACGCAAGGCGGATCTAATGCCGATATGGTTGTGGTAATTATATAAATACAGTCAGACCTCTCTAAATGCAACTCAGCATGCATTTAGAGAACAATAAAAAAAATTGCATTTATGGAGGTTAGAACTATATTTGGGCCAAAGACTGAGGTTATATTTAGAGAGGTATTGCATTTAGGGGAGTTGATTTAGGAAAGTCTGACTATACATATTTTATGTAAATCGACAATAATTCTTTTAATCACCCTACTATTTCAATCTTTCCTTTAATTATAGGCAGAAACATATTTAAAGAATTTAGATATCAGTGGTAAAATAGATTGGGAATTAGCATATAATGCTCTTATCAAAGATGCGGAAATAGATCCATGGGAAAAAGGCTTGTCTGAAGGTCGATTATATTTAACGGATTATAAGAAATATGGTTATATTCCTTTCCCGGATGATGGAAAAACCGGATACGCTAATGCTCAATGTAGTCGAACTTTGGAGTATAGTGCCAATGATTATAGTATTAGCCTTGTTGCTAAAGGTATTTGTCTTTTTTTCAATCTAATTAATTATTATTAATGTATTGACGTGTACACATATAACTATGTATGTGTGATTAAAGGGTTAGGTAAAATCGATGACTTTATAAAATACAAAAAACGTGCAAGTAGTTGGGAGAATTTATGGTGCTCTGATAAAATTTATGATGGTAATTTTTGTATCTTCCCTTCATCTTTACATTAATTTATCTATTAATGATAGTTTAACTTCTATGTGGCATGATAAATAGGGGTTAAAGGATTTATCCTACCAAGATATATTGACGGATCATTCAATATGGACTGGAATGTTGATAGAAATTTTAATGGAGGTTGGAATACATTTTATGAGGGCACATCATGGGAGTATAGTTTGGATGTACCTTTTGGTGCGTATGTTTAACAAGACATTTAATAGTAATTGAATAATTCTAATTTGATCTATATTATTAACAACAAATAAGATGTAAAAAAGTTAATAGAACTATCGGGAGGTCCGAAACTTTTTGAAATAAGACTTGACAAAACATTCTCAGATAATACCTTTTTAGGAACTTACTATAACATAGGGAATGAGCCTGACTTTTTTCATACTTGTTTATATCATTTTATTGGAAAACAGTATAAAAGTGTGGAAATTATTAGAAAGATTATGGACACTAAATTCAGAAATAGCAATGATGGGATTCCAGGTTCGTAATATAAAATATGATAATTAGGTGAATACTATTTATTACGTGGCTTTTACTATGGACCATCCAGTTATCACGTATCATATATTGTTTAGCATTGCTTATAGTACCCAAGGTCTTATTCAACTTTCGTTTTTAAACTTATGAGTACCGGGAATACTTTGTATAGAACAAAGTACTAAATTTCGATACAATTTGTATGAAACGTATAACTTTACTCACGGCTATTACTAAAGAATTAGAATGATAGGCGTAAGTAGCACTCTCGTCTTAACTATAGGAGATATTATTTTTATAGGAGACACTATAAGCAATGCTAAATGGCAATTAATTATAATTAATCATTTATAATGCCATATTAGCGCGTAATACCGCGCGTGGGCGTTGTTTTGAAATTTCCACTTTTTCAAAAAAGCAAAATAACGCACATGTACGTCTTATAATAACGAGCCTTACATATGTACCAGAGTGAGGTTGCAGAAAATTTTTTAGTTGTAATGACTTTTTTTTCAAAATTAATATTACGTATAATTCGAAATACCGCACATGCGCGTTTCGAAATAACGCGCAGACGCGTGTTATTACGCGCTTATGCAGTACTACATTATTTATCACTTAATTCACGGCTCCCTCAACAGATGGCATCTCAAACAAACCTACTTAATAAATTCGTGTTAAATAAAGCATAATCCACATTTGACTCAAGTTTACTATTTTATAGGAAATGATGATTCCGGAGCAATGGGAAGTTGGTATGCTTTCAACGTTCTTGGATTATTTCCAATGTAAGATTTTGTTTCAATAAAAATATTTAATTTAATTTAATATACAATGATATGCTCAAACAATTTAACATTTTTCTATATAATAATAGAGCTGGAACAGATATCTACTTGATAAACTCACCACAATTCGAAACGATTACTATATATCTTTCGATATCACCACCAATAACATTTAATATTATAGCTCACAATCTTATAAACATCCTTGATGATGAATCAGACTCTGTATCTAACCACTCTTCCATAAATCATGTCGTTATTGACGCTGTTTCTTCAAATTCGGCTTCTCCTTCTTCAATCGTAACCGATAATTCAAGACAAATTTACATCGTCAATCTATATGTTCAGAGTGTTAAATTAAATGGCATAAAATGGGAAAAAACTTGGTTTAGACATAGCGATATCTCAAAAGGCGCAGTAATGGGATTACAAATGGGACCAAAACCAAGTAAAGTTTGGGGCGTTGTTGATGAGGAAATTGAAAATAAAAAAGGCGTAGAAGATAGAGTAGTGCCACCTAGTATGAGTGACTACAAGACTGATGTAGCATCAAATAGAAAAAATAAATTTAGCTTCAGATGGGTGGATTTTTCAAGAAATATTTTTTAAATAGAAATAGTCACTTTAATTCTTTTAAAATATATATATATCTATATTCTTTTTACTAACATATTAACATTGATTATTTTTTAATTAGGCATTCTGATAATTATTATAATTAATGAACTTTAATTTTATAATGACTTTTACTAAAACGTACCCATAGTGATTTACAACTATGAATACATTAATCAGTGTGAAGTTTTCTATGTAAAAATGTTCTACGCCCCTAAAATTCCTCCCAAACCATAACACTAACTCTAATACATACTAGCCCGAATGTAAAAAATTTGTTAAATTTTTATATACAAACTTAGGAAAATATAAAAAAGAAATAATAAAAACATATAATAGGTGTAAAACACCATTGGTTTATAATAAATATGGGAAATTGATCCTTTTTTGATAATGACACACCCCATCGATCATTCTAATTTTTATACTTTTTTTAAAAAATTTTAATGAAGCTATCTCGACATAAATCTAATAAAATTCGTCGAATTTTTTTTTATTTTTAATTGTAGAATCTATATAATTTAAAGAAAAAAAAAATCTCATCGAATTTAGTCAGGTTGACATTGAGATATCTTCGGTCAAAAGTTTCACAACAATCTGTAACGCGGCTTCTATTTCATAGAACGGTAAATTTACAATACTTTGATCGAAGATACATCGACAATCAACTGACCGAATTTGATGAGCTTTTTTTTTATTTTAATTGTAGAAATCTGTAGAACTCAAAGAAAAAAAGTTAACTCATAGTTAGCTAATAAAATAAGTTAGAGTTGATGTTAGGGTGAAAAAAATTATAATTAAAAAAATAATAGAGTTGAATCTTTAAATAAGGGTCTTAGAATTCATCTAGGAATGCCCAACCTTTGTTACTATTGATAAATATGTTTGGATAAAATAATTCTATAGCTAAAACATGATAATTGCTTTCATGTATAACAATTTCATTTAAAATTTTAATTTACACTAATGCATCAACCGCAATAAGTAGTAACAATAAAAAATTTGATTTGCTATAAAACTACCTACATTAAATTCTATTGATACACAAAAATCAATTATATAACACAAGCTCACTGCATTTGCCAGACGCGTTTATTGTTATCTATAGTAAATGCTTTAAACTATTTATTATTGTTAATAAAAATATGGGCGAATCTATTTGTCGCCGGCAGTTACAAAAATCTCTAAATTTTAAAATCGAAATAACTCAAATTATTATGCTTATGTAATCAACTTCCGTGTCTTAACAAAAATATTCGTTGCATAATTTTACTATATATGTGACGTTTCAAACCCTAAATATAATTATAAATAAAATCCGGGTGTTGTCACCACCAGTGACAAATAGATTATTTCAACAAATCAAATAAAAATTTAATAAAAATTTTTTGAAAAAAACTCTCTTAGTTTAAAATTAGATTCTGCTGAGCAATCGAGCAAAATTTTCAAATATGGTTAATTTGTATACAATTTGAAGTTTAAAGATCTTATACAGTACTGCAGTATGATACAATTATAAAAAATTATCAAATTTCAAATTGTATCTCCTCAATAATTTACATATTAACTTCTTTAAAACTTTTACTCAATTACTCAGTAGTTCCTATTTTTTAGACAAAAAGAGCGCTTTTTTTAAAAAACATAATAAATTTGTAATAAATTTAATAAATATTTGAGCTTTTTAATATAAATCATCGTCTTCGTTACACAAAATTTCATTGGTTATTTTTATTAGGCCATGTAAAATTAATTAATAACCCGGCCGGGTCAAAATTTGAAACCTTCTAAAAAAAAATTTTTATATGTTTTACAGCTGTTCTCATAAATTTTGGGACATCAGGTAAAAAAAATTGACCGAAGATTATTTGGCCGATTCGATAAGTTTTTTATTCGGAAGTGATAAACTTTTGATTTGGTGTGATTAATAATATAGCGATAATGATAGCGATTGTATTCTGAAAGATACTACAATGTCAAAACATCTAAAATCAAGATTTCGCTAAATGCATGTCCAGTATGTTTGGTGTGTTTATTCTGTACGAAAATTTGTGACAAAAATTGTCTTGCCGACCATCAAATCTTAAAAAAAAACATGAAAAGAGTTCAGAATATAGATAAGCTTTCATAATAAATATATTACACGAAGAAGTGCTAATAAAAAAAAAGTTCAATATAAACAAAAATTTATTGACTTAACCAAAGAAAATATAATTCGAGTTATAATTCCAAGTAGTGTTTCGGGCGAAACCCGAATTTGCAGATCATTTGCAGATCAAATTGGGCGAAACTAATTTCGGAGGATTTCGGACTTATAGGGCGAAATTAAAATTCTTCTGGGCGAAATATTTCGGATTTGGAAAATAATTTCGCCCGAAACA